AATGGGCAGTTAATGCCCATGTTAGAGATGCGCCTTCGTTGCCATCTGATATTTACTGCATCGCCGTGGGCTCTGGTTCTGAAAGTGGGAAGGCTCCATGGTGGTGGCTGCGGGCCCATCCTTCACAGATGCAGGCAGTTTGGGGAGTGTTTTGCTGCCTTAACTTCAGTGCAGGCTGCACACGGGAGCTTTTTCACCTTAAAAATCCTGTTACTGCTTCTTGGTCATCTCAGTTCTTCATTGCCAGTCCTGTGGTTGTTGCTGACAAACCCAGGGCTGTTCTGCCGAGCAAGGCTGCTCCGGATAAAGGGTAAATGGGAATAACCCTTTCTTCCCCATCAGCCTCCCCAGCTGCTGCAGGGTGGCACGGAAGAGCTGTATTTTCTGTTTGTGCAGGTTATTAATGACCATTTTGGTCATGGAGCTTAGCAATTTGTTTTCTGTCCTGTCTGACAGGAATTTGGAGGTGCTGCTGGCAGAACTGGTAATCAGGAAAAAAAACCTGCACAACTTTGCTGCAATTATTCTTCTTCTGGTCCCAGAATTATTCTTGTTGCTTATTCTGGGCAGCGTCCCGAGCAGCAGTGTGTTATCAGTGCTGATTTAATGTCAGCGGTGTTGCCGTGCCCAAGAAGGTGATGATCTGCAGGGAAATGGCGATTGCTGTTAATTCAGGCAGGCACTGGGTTTGTGTGCGTGGCTGACAAGTAAGCAAAAAGCAAGGTAGTAACTCCTGTATTTGGTGTGAAGGAAGGGATTTCATTAAATCCAAAACTAGGACACAGAACTGAGATGTAAACCCTGTTCTCTGCAGGGCAGTTTCAAGTGAAAGCATCTTGCAGTGGGTTATGCCTCTTCCTGGGACAGCGGGTGACAGCAGGCCTAAAATAACGTAGCTAGCAGTGTGTGATTGAGTGGAAAATTGCATAAAAGCCTTTTATTAGAAAGAACAAGTTTTGCTTTATGATCTTGTTTCTATAGCCTTTCATTCTGCTGTGTTGTCCCAGATATTTTTCATTTCCCACTTGCTTTAGCAACGGAGTTCTCTGCACTCTGCAGGCTCTGTGTATCCTTCTGAATTAATCACACGTGAAGTAGTTTCGGTAACTTAAAACTCTGCTTTTGTAGTTCCCAGGCATTTCTCCCTTGCAGCTTTTTAAAGCACTAACGCGTTGATGAGGTGCTCTTGGGCTGAGCTCTGTGCTGAGCTGTGCTTGCTATTCAGGAAGTATTGGGGTAGCGATAAGTGCATTTCAGAATTAAAACTCTGGAGGTTTTCTTTTTACCTTTAATTGTACTTGTTCAAAGTTTCTGCGTGCTTCAGAGACTATTGCTTCGTGTTAATCCATTCTCAAGGTACTACATGAAAGACAGCGAGGGAAGAAGAGGGCTCCTTTCAAAGCAATTTCCCTACTATTTGCAGAAGTGCTTGAATAATACGAAGCTCTGGCTCCGAGTCTCTCTTGTAAAATGCGTTGCGGGCATTTAATGAAAGTGCTACGTAACTACTAAATACGAGGGGTTTTTTTTTCCCCTTGCGTCTAGGAGTGCTCTTTCTGCAGCACTCCCTGCGTCTGAGAAGATTATAAAGCATGTGATGATGTTGTGCTTGGTCCCGAAATGTAGGACGTGTAGTACTCCGCTTAGCACGAGTTCCAGGAGAGCGCTGTGACCTCAGGGAAATGGGAAGCTTCTCATGCGTAATCTTGATTTACAGCCCTGTTGATGATGTGGGTAGGTGGCCTGGGTAGTTAAAATGCTGGCTACCCCTTTAATTGGCAGAAATGTCAGCGTGAATGCTGCTGGGTGTTGACTTTGCTGGAGCACTCTTCTTTTTTTGCCTGTGAATGTGGTTTTTTTTGACTTGAAAACACCCAGGTAATTTTAACTCTCTTGCTGATTGGATTCATGGCAGCTGGACAAGCTGATCTATTTGAGGCTTTATGAGGTACCTTCTCCTCGGCTCGTGCCCTTGAGTTGTTAGGAAGTAGCTTCTCTGCGCAGCGTCTGCAGTACAAATAGTATTTTAAAAGGTTGACACAACTGCGGGCGAGTCTACAAGAGTTCTCATCCTTCAGATGTTTATTTGAAATGTCTATTGATTTTTACATATTTTTAACAAAGTGAGATTTCCAGGGCAGCTATTTTTCTAAATGATTCCGTATTACACAGGACTTAGTGTAGTTTTATTGAAATTGTATTGAAAAGTGCAATTAAATGGTTGTTAAACGTTTAGTGTTGCATTACGATATCGACTCTCAAACTTCTGTGCAACCAGAAAAATACTCAGAGCCGTTGGTGTAACTTTTCCTTCTTGCTCGGTGCAATATTTCCCTTCTCCCAGTTACGATTGCCTTGCTGTAGGTCATGGATTGAAATCCACAGAGCTGATGTCCTTTTTTCCTTCCAAGGACTGGCCGTTTGATGATGGAGCACCACCCCCGAATCAGATAGTTGACGACTGGCTGAACCTGGTGAAAGCCAAATTTCGGGAAGAGCCTGGATGCTGTGTCGCTGTTCACTGTGTTGCGGGGCTGGGAAGGTTCGTAGTCTGCTCTCTTGTTCTTACACTGCACTTAATTTATTTAGGAGGTAGCTCATGGAAGGTGTTAATGCCAATTGCTCTGTTTTCTCCCAGATAATACTTTAAAGCAGCAGCATCAAGTTGGTGTCAGACTTATTGCAGCTTAAAAATCTATAGTAATTGCATTACTGATCAAGGATGAAGGGAAAAGCTCGGGGAGGTTGTTCAGAGCACTTCTGTCAGTCCCGAACAACAGGAGCGCTTAAGAGGTGCTGTGAATTTGGAGCGATAGGTCTTTCTGCGGCTGAGGGAGCTGGGGCTCTTGAGCTTGGAGCAGAGGAGACTGAGGGGTGCCCTCATTCCTGGGGATCCATTGGGAAAGGGCAGTGTCAGGAGGAAGGAGCCAGGCTCTGCTCTGGGATGGCCAATGCCAGGACAAGGGGCAATGGTCCCAAGCTGGAGCACAGGAGGTTCAAGCTGAAGATGAGGCCAAAGTTTGTGAGTGTGAGGGTTATGGAGCATGGCCCAGGCTGCCCAGAGAGGTTGTGGAGTGTCCTTGTGTGGAGACACCCAAAGCCCTGGCCGTGTTCCTGTGTGACTGCTCTGGTGCTCCTGCTCTGGCAGGGGTTGCACTGGGGGAGCTTTCCAGGTCCCTTCCAGTTCCTCATATTCTGGGATTCTCTTGTGCTTCTTGACAAACACAATACACATTCATAGCTTAAGGCTGCACAGGTTTGGGTTTATATATATATATATATAATATATTTCCTCCTTTTTTCAGCTGATCTACTACTAAGCATGTGGTAATAAAAAGCATTTAGAAAAATGACTTCAATTGCTTTTTTACTCTAAAGTGGCTTTAATTCAGTGGTAGGAAGAGTTAGGCTTGTATTTCTTGCTCACATGCAGTCTAATGTTTCTCTTCTTGCCACTCGAAATCAAACTTCCTTCTTTGGGAAGAGCTTCCTTTCAAGATGAAATAAAAAGCTTCAGGAAAGTTAACTGCTCCATTCATATTCCCTGAAGTAATCTCTGCATGTTATGTTTATCCTATGGGCTAGGAGGAAATGGAGCTTAAGTGTTAGTATTCTTACAATAACCATGGGACTGTGAATATTTAAGGATATGAATGTGTGGGCGAGAGGTGGATTAAAGGAGTCAAGTAAGCACAGAGCTGGAGTTCTTAAATTTCCACCTCTAGAGAGGGAGAGATGGGGAAAGTTGAAGAAGAGGCAGAAACAGCCAATATTTAAAGACGTAAGAGGCAAAAACCCTGGGCAATTGGCATCTGTTTATCCATTTCTGCTCTATTTTTATCTGAGAAACATCTTCAGGAAGGTGGCCACGTGTAACTCAAGTGATTTTCAGCTCTTGTTTCTTTCGTAATATCAGGCCAAAGGGTACCAGGAGCTTCCTGTGTTGTGTGTGTCACATAAACCCCTGTGTGGATCTGTTCCTTACAGAGTGACCTTTCTGCTGTGCTCACGCTGCTGCTGGCAGAGGGAAAAACAAGAGCTTTACAGACTGGGCTTTAATCTGCAAAACTGTCTATCTGTAGCAGGGAATTGACAGCTAGACAAACAAAAGCTGTCTCTTTTTACTCTTATTTGTTTCAAACTGTTCCCTTTAAAGTGAATAATTCGGTTTATGCAGGTGTGCATGGCAGTGGTGGTGAGAGTTGTTCAGTTTTGCCATAAGTGCACGATGTCCAATTGCTGCTTAACCCTTTGCTGCTCCACCCTCAAAGGTGTCTGCTGCTGCTGTGTGTGTTTAGGGGGTGAACATCAACCCAGGAGAGTCAGTGTACACTCTGTTGTTCCTGGAATACCCCGCTCCACATACAGCACATGTATAGATTACTTCTTCTTATTTAAGTCATCTGTTCAGTGCTTCGTCGATCATCTCACGTACAACTAAATCTACAGTGTCATAAGAAGCAAAATGCATGCAAGAGGTATTACACACTTGTTTTAGCACAGTGGAAAATCAGGTTAGAGTGAAATGAGGAAGCGTAAAAATCTAAATTCTTGTTTCATGCCCCAAACGCTAAGGAGCCATTGATTTTTATATTTTGTGTGTGTGCTGGGAGCAGAGCTGTCTCCTAAAAGAGATTTTACATTAGGTACTCAGCAGGCAAATGTCTTTCTGTAGATAATGCTTAAAGAGGAAATACTTCAGCTCTCTGTTTATAGATTCATCTGATGTATTTTAAAGGGGGTTCAATATATTGTTTCTTGAGATCTTCCTTAAACACTCATTTCTCCTTTAGGGCTCCTGTCCTGGTTGCACTTGCTCTCATTGAAAGTGGAATGAAGTACGAGGATGCAGTTCAGTTTATAAGGCAGTAAGTTAAACGTCCCCCTTCTTAAGAAATCTCTCGGTTTATGTTGTATTTGAACAGCTTGCAAAGTTTGATAGGTTTCTGATGGGTTTCCTAGTAGCTGTATCCTGCCAATAATGGACATGACTGTGGCCTTAATGCTGAGACCGGTGCCCTTTCCTCTGTTTAGAGATGAGGATTAAATGATGGTGCTTCCTTTATTAAAAAAAAAATCTGGGCTTATATATTAAGCCATTGACTTAAAACTGAAAGATTTTTGAACTTGGGAGGAAAAAAAAGGTCTAGGTTAGGTCTGTAAAAAAAAAAATTGGGATGAATTGAACATGGACTAATGGCTCCTAATTTAAAAAATAATAATAAAACAATTCTAGTGAGCACCAGCACTCGCAGGTGTCGGGGTGAGCTTGTTACCCACCCAGGAAATGTCAGCATCCACCCTGGCTGGAAAGTAAGGAAACTGGTGAGGGATGAGACTGCAGAGCTCTGCTGGTTTAGTGATAACATCAGATCTTGAAATGAAGCCCAGCAGGTAAGATTGCGTTGAATGAGCTTTGCCAAAAAAGCAATTCATCCTCTTATGGCTTCCCAGGGTCTCCAGTTATCTTTGTAAACACTACTGCTGTCAACACATTTTTTCTGATGCTTTTTTTTTCCCTTTAAGTTCCTTATTTCTCTTCCTGGGTATAAAAGTACCTTTTCTACTGAGAAACTCTGTTCTGAGAACCTCTTACATATTTATGTTTGAATGTCATGGTCTTAGCTAATACCACAAGTAGCACATGCATCTGCAAGGCGAGGGTGGCCTTGATGTTGTTCAGTGGCTGCTGGAGGTGGAAATAATCTCTCCCAATCCAAGAAAAGAGACTGCAATTTGCTAACTGGAGCTTGGTTTTAATGTTGGCCTGCGGGTGATGAACTGGTTTACCCTTCCTCAGGTCAGTGGATACAGAACCAAGCCAAAGTGATCGAAGCAGTACTTCTTCCATTGATATTAGCCTTCATTCTCTTTGTTTTAGGAAAAGGAGGGGAGCTTTCAATTCCAAACAGCTGCTTTACCTTGAGAAATACCGACCTAAGATGCGATTACGCTGCAAAGATGCCAACGGTCACTGCTGTGTTCAATAAAAAAATGCAAAAAGAATAATCTCAAACGAAGGCAGAAGTTTAGCATGGCTGTTTTCTGGACTCTTGGCACCTGGAAATGTGAATCTGGAATCAAGCTGTCATCAAATGAGTGGTGGAGTCAGTGCTCCTCAACCTCTGTCCTAATGGTGGTGATGATTGAAACAAAAATAAAAATAAAGTTAAGAGAAACATTTCAGTAAAGGATTTGCTTTCTCCTTAAGCTGCAGTTTGACCACCTGCAAGGAGAAAATCAGTTTCTCAACCTTCTGTATTTTTAACTTTTTAAGAAAAAGAAATAAAGTAAATTTTATGTCTAAGGAAAACCAGCAGAGCATTGGCTTGTGCAGATGCTGTTTTCTTGATTTGAGGGAAGTTCTCCACAGGTAGGGCCTGATACATTAATTCCTATGGGACCCATTTAAATAGAGTTGCTTTTATTTTCCTCTTTTAACCTCGCTGGGACCTGGCAGCATTGAGGAGGAGCTGTTGTTGCTGTTTGGGAGCAGTCTGACAGCCTTAAGCCCAACCTGGGCACGTTTTAGAGGTTCAGTGGTGTCTGTGTTTTGTGTTTATGTGGTCTTCAGGTGTGGATAACAGCTTCCTGGTGGGCTTTAACAGAAAACTTGCTGCTTGATATCTCTGGTGAAGTCTTTTTTGATGGTAGGAGATGGTGCTTTTCACTGTGTGAGCCTGTGTGTGTGATTTTATGTGTGTGTGGATATTAGTCTTATTTTGCCAAAGAATTTGGCTGAAATGTTAATTGTCTTTCTGTTGCTAGATAGAAAATCTATCCCGGCAGAAGACTGATGTTCAGAGGTGTCCTAGGTGAGCAAGGGGCAGTTCAGACAAGGACTAAAATTAATTGAGCTGTCACCAGGAGGACAAAAAGGCTTTTTGCTGCTGTCCAGATTTCTCTGCAATCAGGATTTGGGGGATGGGTTTAATTTGTATCACACAGGAGGAGATGGTACGCACACTGAAATGGGATCTGTGAATAAATGCCTAGGATGAGCGTTTTCCCAGGCTGGCCCTTGTGTTCAGTTCAGTTTAACCACTGATTGCCTTGTTATTTTTTGGAGGGGGAATCTCTAGTTAAGGCCAACATGCCTATCACACATTCACCATTGGCAGACCATAAATATGCTGATTTTTGGAGTGGACCCCGCATCCTCTTAATGGGCCACAGGTGTTGTCAGTGAATTAATCAAGACAAGTCATTTTCCAGCCTCTAATGAGCAGTTTCAGCCAGGCTGCTCCTACCAAACCTGTGTTAACGTGGTGCCCTGCCCCAGGAGTGCCCTCATTTGCTTTCACCGTGACTTGATGTCTGTAATACTCAGCTGTTGAAGGCTTTGAGGGCAGGTTTAGAGTTGTACTCCTGTGATCTGTCGCTGTGGAGCACCAAAGGCTTTTGCTGGGCTGTGCCCGTGGTAGGGGCAGCCCCGTACCCAGCGTTTCCCGATACCTCAGCTGCTGGCGACCCAGGACGTCTTCCTGTTTTTCACCTCTGCCTTTAGCCGCAGCTTAACTGCACAAACATTCTCAGAACGCAGGTAATGGCCTTTCAGAATTCTATTCCTGGAAAGGATTTCTCAATTTAAGCAAAAAAAGAAGGGTGCTTGTCCAGCCCCTCACTTTCCAGATGTGCCCACAGACCTGCTCGAGGTCCGTGGCTGGAAACACCGCGCTCCACGAATCTCGGTTCTGTGCCCCACTCGACTGTATCGCTGTACTGAGTTCCTCCCTTGAAGATGTAACGTTTCTGATTGCTTTAATAGGTAAAGGAGATAAAAAAGTGTTTGTGTCAATGCCTGCATTAGGGAAATAACATCTCAGTAATGTCTGAGTGCAGGGGGGAGGTGGAGGATGCTGAAATTACCCCATTCTGGCCTTTACCTTCCCCTCACAAACTGGAAGCCTGATGTTCTGTTTCTGCAAATGAAAATGGATGTTTTTAGTAAAATGAGGTACACATTTGACAAATGGTGGAAGTCAGGTTGGAAGGGAAGGCGTTGAGCTGGATTGAAAACCAAACCCTGAGCCCTTCTGAACAATAAAGATTTGACATGCTCTGTGTATAACTCTGCATTCTTCCCCCTAGTTTTACTCTGACTTACAATGTACTAATCACCATATACCATAACTCTGCAGCCTTAATTGAGGAAAAACAGTGGAAAGTGCAGACTCATAAGCGTAGGCACAAATGGGGGGAGAGTAATTGTGGCCGATGTCCCACAGGCACAGTTCTCGGTT